ACAAGCCTGGCCAATGTGGAGAAACCCCAGTTCTACTAAAAATACAAAAATTAGCTGGGTGCAGTGGTGCGTGCCTGTAATCTCAGCTACTTGGGAGGCTGAAGCAGGAGAATCGTTTGAACCCGGGAGGCAGAGGTTGCAGTGAGCCGAGATTGCACCACTGCACTCCAGCCTGGGCGACAGAGTGAGACTGTCTCAAAGAAAAAAAAAGAGATTGATGAAGGTGACTGCTCCCAGGAATCTTCCCATCTAAGAGTTGGACATAGAGGTCCAGAACAGAAGAAGAGGATTGAGCCCTGGGGGACCTGGGTGAAATCCAGAATGCCTTCCTGGAGGACAGTGTGCTGACCCTGGGGAGGGACAGGCAGGCAGAGGTGCCGGTGTGCAGGGTTGGGAAGAGACAGAGGCTTCTTAGCTGTAGGAACAGGCGGTCCTGGCAGGCGGTGGAGGGAAGCTGGGTGCAAGGGTGGAGAGAGGAGAGCCCTTTCGGTCCGGCTGAATTCAGATAAGAGCCTGCTGGTTTCCTCACAACCCCCAGTAGAGGCCATAAAGAGATCAGAAGGTAAACTACTGATCCGAGGCTGCAGAGACTCAAAGGTCAGTGTCCAGCCTCGAGGAGCTGAGCGCTCCAGTCTTTCGGAAGCTGCCTGGGAGTGTTTGAGTGCCTGGCTTATGCGGCCACAGCGCGTGGATCAAGCCTGAGTTTTGCTTCCTGCCTTGTCCTGGGCTCCCAGAGCAGCTTCCTCCTCTGCCCTCGGTGTGTCCCCTCCACACAGGCCTGGGGAAGGGAGCAAGGCTGTTCCCCCTGTGACCTCTGTGACCTGGAGTGTGGCCTAGGTCCTTCTGTTAATTTTCCTCACGGCGGTGAACTTCGGCAAGACTTCACTGAAGACTGGAAATTGCTACCCAGAGAAGCCCAGAGGTGGAAGCCAGTCTGATATACTGAGAGCTCACAGACCCAGGCTGTTCTGGGAGACCCACCCGCTGCCTGGGTGCCTCCCAGCCTCCTCGATATGGCAGCTGTCTGCCCCACCTCCCTCCACTGGGGCTCAGCTCACAACGGGGTTCTGGGCCCGATGCACGCCCCTTTCCCTCTCCTCATTTTCTGTGCTGGGATTTGCCCCTTCCCAGGGTAACTGACAATGGAATGTCCGCTTTCCCCAGGAAAACCCTAACCCCTACTCGGAGCTGCCAAGCTCTCAGAACCCAGTGAGTAGAGACCACACTTTGTTTTCTAGAATCTGGGATCCACTTCTTTGGGAATCACACATGTGAGTTGTCAAAGCACAGCCCAGTCTTGTCCTTTCAGCTACTTCCTGCTTCAGGCAGGGGCGTTGACACATCCCTCTGGCCAGTTTCATAGACACCCCCCACCCCAAGTCTCCCGTGAGCCACTGCTCGAAGCACACACACACACACACACACACACACACACACACACACGAGGATAAGTCGTTTTCAGAATTAGTGTAAGCTACATATCATGAAAGAAACGATTCGCAGAGATGTAGCATACCCACTGCAAAAGAACCCTCGGCAATGCCAAGCTTCTTGAGTTCCTTGGAGAGTCCCCCACCAACCACATCGTACATATAGCGGGAGATTTGGGAATTGGGGGATTAATCTCGGCATCACCTAACCAAACTTGACTATGATTTACCGCGTCACACCACTGCTGTTAGCACCCTGCGGCAGGCTCTGCAGAAGGAATTCTTCTCCAAGCACAGAGCCCACATTATGGAAGTCCAGCCTAAGGTGGGAAATCTTTCCCTCCCCTACGCCTAACCTTAGAGGCCATGGCCCTTTCCGGGTCACTTCAATTTTGACAATAACAGCAATAGCTACCATTTATTGCTAGGCACAGAGCTAGGCCTTTTTTTTTGAGACAGGCTCTTACTCTGTCACCCAGGTTGGAGTGCCACGGCACAATCACGGCTTTGGCTCACTGGAGCCTTGACCTCCTGGGCTCAAACAGTCCTCCTTCAGCCTCCCAAGTAGCTGGGACTGTAGGTACATGCCACCATGCTTGGCTCGTTTTATATTTTTTGTAGAGACAAGATCTTGCTATGCTGCCCAGACTGGTCTCAAACTCCTGGGCTCAAGCAATCCTCCTACCTCAGCCTCTGAAAGTGAGGACCAGGCATTTTGTACTTAATATGCTATATATTCTTCTGTGCATTTGAAAACTGCACTCACCAGCATCATCATTCACGTCCTAATTGCCAGGCCAGTAGGTATTTGGTGGTTCTCTGTAATATCTCTCTGGCATGCTCCCCAACTCGCCCTGTCTTCTTTTTCACCCTGTCCTTCCTACCACGTGCTGAGCGCTGCCTGATGCTGAAGATAGAGCAGCGAATAAGACAGATACAATCCCTGCCCTGCCTTCATGGAGCTTAAAGTCTAGCAGGAAAACAGATCAGTTAGCAAACAATTATCACTCAATTGATAAGAGCTACTATCAGTTGCTTTTAACCCCTCCTTCCTGGATTTGTCCAGGTAGCTTTCAGCCAATCCCTTTCCTCCCAAAGGTACCTGTTTTCACATGTCCTGATCTTTCCCTGTCCTCCCTTAAAGGGTCTTGTGGGTTCCCAGTCTGGATGACAGTGACCCAGACTGCAAATATTTGCTAAGATCAGGAGATTTAAGGAGCCCTCGAAGGGAGCCTAGGACTGAGCTTGGTAAGGATCAGGGAAGGCTTCCTGGAGGAAGGGATGACTAAGCAGCCGAGACCTGAAGAATGGGCAGAAAGAATGATCCAGACAGAAGAGATGCATTTGCAGTAGCTTAGAGATTAGAGGCTGGTTCAAGGCAGCAGACAGGTATGGCTGGGAGCTGCGTGGGGGAATGTAGAGAGTCTGGAGAATTAAGCCAGGGTAGGTTGTGCGACAACTGGAAAGGCTCCAAGAAAAAGTAGAGAGCCATTGATGGCCAGGCATGGTGGCTCACGCCTGTAATCTCAGCACTTTGGGAGGCTGAGGCGGGCGGATCACTTGGAGTCAGGAGTTCAGGACCAGCCTGGCCAACATGGTGAAACCCATCTCTACTAAAAATACAAAAATTACCCAGGTGTGGTGCAAGCCTGTAATCCCGACTATGTGGGAGGCTGAGACAGGAGAACTGCTTGAACCTCGGAGAAGGAGGTTGCAGTGAGCCAAGACCGTGCCACTGTACTCCAGCCTGGGCGGTAGAGTGAGACTCCTCCTC